CGTCTTCTCCTCTCTCCTGCGTCTCCTCCTCTTCCTCCTCATCCTCCTCCTCATCCTCTTCCTCATCCTCCTCTTCCTCCTGCTCCTCCTGCTCCTCCTCCCCCTCCTCCTCATCCTCCGCCTCCACTTCGCTTTCCGACTCCTCCTGCTCCTCCTCTTCCTCCTCCTCCTCATCCTCCTCTTCCTCACCCTTACCATCCTCCTACTCCTCATCCTCCTCCTCCTACCCCTCCTCCTCATCCTCCTGCTCCTCCTGCTCCTCCTCATCCTCCTCCTCCTCATCCTCCTCCTCCTCCTCTTCCTCCTTCGTTCTCCTCCTCCCTCCTCCTCCTCCTCCTCCTCCTCCTCGCCTTCCGCCTCCTCCCTCCTGACCTCCCTCCTCCTCCTCCTCCTCCTCCCCAGAATCAGCAGCAGCATCAGCATCAGCATCAGCGCCCTCAGAATCATCAGCATCAGCATCATCATCAGCATCAGCATCAGCATCATCATCACATCAGCATCAATCATCATCAGCAGCATCATCATCATCTCATCATCATCATCATCATCATCATCATCATCATCATCATCATCATCATCATCATCATCATCATCATCATTCTCATCATCAGCATCATCATCATCATCATCATCATCAGCATCATCATCATCATCAGCATCATCAGCATCATCATCATCATCATAATCGTCATCATCATCATCATCATCATCGTCACCATCATCATCATCAACATCATCATCATAATCAGCATCATCATTATCAGCAGCAGCACCATCATCGTCAGCGTCAGCATCATCATCATCATCATCATCATCATCATCATCGTCGTCATCATCAGCATAATCAGCATAAATATCAGCATCAGCATCAGCATCAGCATCATCATCATCATCATCATTATCGGCAGCCGAATCATCAGCATCCCCATCATCATCGTCGTCAGCAGCAGAATCATCATCATCATCATCATCAGCAGCAGCAGCAGCATCGTCATCATCATCGTAATCATCAGCATTATCATCCTCATCATCATAATCATCATCCCTATCACCAGCATCATCCTCATCATCATCATCATCATCATCAACAGCAGCATCGGCATCGGCATCAGCAGCATCATCACTATCATCCTCAGCATCATCATCATGATCATCATTACCATCGTCACCATCGTAACCATCATCATCATCATCATCATCATCATCATCATCATCATCAGCACCATCATCATCAGCATCATCAACAGCCTCAGCATCGTCATCATCAGCATCATCATCATCAGCATCACCATAATCATCAGCATCAGCATCCTCATCAACCTCATCCTCCTCCCCCTCCTCATCATCATCATCATCAGAATCAACATCAGCATCGTCAGCATCATCAGCAGCATCATCATCAACAACATCATGATCATCATCCACATCATCATCATCAGAATCGGCATCATCATCACCATCACAATCACCATCAAAACCATCGTGATCATAATCATCATCAGCAGCATCATGATCATCGTCATCACCATCACCATCACCATCACCATCACCGTCACAACCATCGTCATCAGAATCATCATCAGCATCATCATCGTCATCACCACCATCAACATTATCATCAGCACCATTAGCATCATCACCATCATCACCACCATCAACATCATCAACACCATCATCACAATTCTCATTGTCATCATCATCACTACCATCGTCATCAGAACAATCATCATCATCATCATCATCATCACGGTTGGCAGCAGCAGCATCATCATAATGAGAGTAAGCATCAGAATCATCATCGTCAGAATCATCATCAGCATCATCATCAGTATCATCATCATCAGCAGCATCATTACCATCATCATCGTCATCATCAGCATCATCATCATCGTCATCATCATCATCAATCATAATCAGAACAGCATCGTCAACACCTTCCTCCTCAGCCTCCTCCTCACCATCGTCATGATCATCGTCATCATCGTCATCATCATCATCGTCAGCATCGGCCGCATCATCATTATCAGCAGCATCACAATCGGTAGCATCAGCATCGGAATCGTCATCATCATCAGCAGCAACATCCGCATCGTCATCAGCGGCATCATCATCAGCATCAGCAGCATGAAAACCAACATCAAGAATAATATTATTATCAGCCTCATCATCCCCATCATCATCAGCAGCAGCATCGGCATCAGCATCAGCATCATCACCACTATCATCCTCAGCATCAGCATCATGATCATCATTACCATCGTCACCATTAGAACCATCATCATCATCAGCACCATCATCATCAGCATCATCAACAGCATCAGCATCGTCATCATCAGCATCATCATCAGCATCACCATAATCATCAGCATCAGCATCCTCATCACCCTCCTCCTCCTCCTCCTCCCCCTCCTCATCATCAGCACCATCACCATCATCGTCATCATCAGCATAAGCAATGTAACCTTCAGCATAATCATCGTCCGCATCATCATCATCATCATCATCATCATCATCATCATCATCATCATCATCAGCATCAGCATCAGCATCAGCATCATCATCATCGTCTTCGTCATCATCATCATCATCATCAACATCATCATCACCATCCTCAGCATCATAATCATTAGCATCAGCATCAGCAGCATCATCATCATGATCGTCGGCGTTGCCATCATCCTCATAATCATCATCAGCATTAGTAGCATCACCAGCATCAACAGCAGCACCATCAGCATCATCATCACCATCATCACCAGCGTCATCATCATCATCATCATCAGCATCATCATCATCATCATCATCATTATCATCCGCATCCTCAGCATCATCATCATCACCAGCATCATCACCAGAATCAGCCTCATGAGCATCATCATCAACACCAACAGCATCATACCCCTCATCCTCCTCCTCATCCTCCTCCTCCTCCTCCTCCTCCTCCTCCTCCTCCTCCTCCTCCTCCTCCCCTTGTTCATCGTCTTGTCCCTCCGTGTTCGTCTCCAACTCCTGCTCCTCCTCGTGTCTCCCTCTTCCTCCTCCTCCTCAACATCCTCCTGATCCTCCTCCTCCTCCTCTTCTTCCTCCTCCTCTTCCACCCACCCCTCCTCCTCCTTCTCCTCCTTTTGCCGTCCTCGCTCCTCCTCCTCCTCCACTTTCTCATGCTGACTCCTCCTCCTCCTCCTCCATCCTCCTCCGCCCCCTCCTCCTCCTCCTCCTCCTCTGACTCCTCCTCATTCGCCGCATCCTCTCATCCTACATCTCATCCTCCATCATCATCATCATCCATCATCATCATCATCATCATCATCATCATCAATCAGCATCATCATCAGTTTCCTACTCCTTCACCCCTCCCCCTCCTCCTGCTCCTCCTCTCCTCCTTCCCCCTCATCATCATCATCGTCGTCCTCAATCTCCTACTCATCCCTCCTCCTCCTCTCCCCTCCTCCTCCTCCTCCGCCTCAACTCCTCCTCTCCTATCCTTCGCCTCCTCCCTCTAACCACCACCGCCTCCTCCTCATACTCCTCCTCATCTCTCTCCTCCTCCTCCTTTCGCCTCCTCCTCCTCCCATCTCTCCTCCTCTCTCCCACCTCCTCCTACTCCTCCTCCTCCGCCGCCTCTCGCCTCC